CCTGTGAGCAAAGTTGGTTCCTGTGAGCATAGTTGGTTCCTGTGAGCAAAGTTGGTTCCTGTGAGCATAGTTGGTTCCTGTGAGCAAAGTTGGTTCCTGTGAGCAAAGTTGGTTCCTGTGAGCAAAGTTGGTTCCTGTGAGCAAAGTTGGTTCCTGTGAGCAAAGTTGGTTCCTGTGAGCAAAGTTGGTTCCTGTGAGCAAAGTTGGTTCCTGTGAGCAAAGTTGGTTCCTGTGAGCAAAGTTGGTTCCTGTGAGCAAAGTTGGTTCCTGTGAGCAAAGTTGGTTCCTGTGAGCATAGTTGGTTCCTGTGAGCAAAGTTGGTTCCTGTGAGCAAAGTTGGTTCCTGTGAGCAAAGTTCTGCGTCCTGTGAGCAAAGTTGGTTTCTGTGAGCATAGTTGGTTCCTGTGAGCATAGTTGGTTCCTGTGAGCAAAGTTGGTTCCTGTGAGCAAAGTTGGTTCCTGTGAGCAAAGTTGGTTCCTGTGAGCAAAGTTGGTTCCTGTGAGCAAAGTTGGTTCCTGTGAGCAAAGTTGGTTCCTGTGAGCATAGTTGGTTCCTGTGAGCAAAGTTGGTTCCTGTGAGCAAAGTTGGTTCCTGTGAGCAAAGTTGGTTCCTGTGAGCAAAGTTGGTTCCTGTGAGCAAAGTTGGTTCCTGTGAGCAAAGTTGGTTCCTGTGAGCAAAGTTGGTTCCTGTGAGCAAAGTTGGTTCCTGTGAGCAAAGTTGGTTCCTGTGAGCAGAGTTCTGCGTCGACGCAAAAGTGAGGCAAGTTGGTTGTTGCGACTTCTCAAGAACCAACCTGGCTGTCTCGCAAGGTGAGCCCATCCTGCAGAAGTGAGTGCGGGAGGATAAGGGTTCTTCTTGGGGTGCTGCTTTATGCCTGTGTCACAGGTGATAGGGTGAACGCCCTTGCCAATTGCCCTAACTCCTTGTCTTAGCAAGGTTATCCGTGTTGGACACTGGTCAACCCCCCTTCTCAGCTTTCTTGTGATTATGTTCTCCCGTGGTGACCATGAGCCGCTTCGCATTTACAGCAGGTGTTGTTTCTTTAGGCGCTTAAAAAATCATCTGTGATTTTGTTTGTGAGTTTGTTTTCCAATTGTGACCATGTGCCGATGGGCCTGTACAGGAGGTGGTTGAAGCAAGTAAAGCTGCTGGGAAGATGGACCCTGCTTTGGCTCACGAGCTGCTGATTCGAAACCCATCGTATGCTTCGACGCACTGATGGGTGTATTTGTGCTGTGTCCCTTCAATTGGAGGGGCTAGCAAGGCTGTACATTACGGTCTCCTGCTGGTGCGACATATCCATTAACACGGGTGTCCCAGTGTCTTGTGCTCCTACTGTATCTACTTCATAGTTTTAAGTAATCATGTCAAAATGAATGAAACAACATATGTGTAGCATTCTCCTGCAGGACATATACCCACCGGAATCACATCCTGTTTCTTGCTATTGTGAACCGTGTAAACACACTGAAGAGTGCTACTGTTCCTTGGACGTACAGTGGTGTGACAGTAACCGCCCCTAGCAGGTGGGTGCGATGCGATGTGATGTGGGTATGGTGAGGGGCATTCCTAAAGTTTGTTTTGCCAGAATGCTCTATATAACGTAATGCAATGCACCTAGTTGAACGGTTCAAACGCGAAATATGACTATAATGTGGATGACGGTGCGCTGTTGGTTGTGTCCAGCAGAATTCGAATACGTAAAGCGAGTGTGCTGATGATGTGTTCGGGTTTGGGGAGGGGGTAATTTTTCCCCTTCTGGACCATTACAAATGTGGTTGGGCAATGAGCGCATGTGGCAGGCGTGGGATGCGCGTTGGTGGGACCATTTTGTCTTTCGTGCTTAGTCGTGGTCGAACATTGCTCGATGTCCTTTTCAGGCTTCATGCCCAGGCAACACCAACCATGGCCAACTGTAAACTGTTTTCAGATCGGCCCTGGCAACAACCAGGTTTCGATTTCAGGTCAAACGGCACACAAATCTTCGCTTGTGCCGCCCTCAGGGGGCTGTTTCTTGCAATTGTCCGAAACGAAGCGAAGTTGTGGTAGTGGTGAGCTCAGGTTGAAAGGTTGAACGACAGTCATGAAGAACGGGTTCCTGGAAAACATAGGATTTGGTGTTGTCTCGATGAAGGTGGAAATCTTTTTGAAGCGTTGTTGCAGGGTGGCGAGAAAGGATCACATGAAAAACATGCAAAGCCGAGTTGGTGAAGTACAGTGGTGATTTTGCTGGGGGCCTGGTCCTAAAGAACCAGTATTTTCAAGTACACGTACAGTATTTTCTATCCCAGCTCTCCAGTGAGAGCAGCCAAAGCCCCAGCACATTGTCGGCAGTTGCGTTCGAGCTGTCTGAAAAACGTACAGTCGAACGAACTCCCCAACAGCCCAGCCCGAAGAGCTTCATCCCAAAACACATTGCGCCGTCCGTCCTTGATTATGATGGAAACCCCTTTTGTACAGTGCGTCGCGCTTGTGTACAGTACATGTTACCCATGGGTTCTGCAACTTGGACAGGCGGGGATGTTGGTGGTGGTGTGAGATGCTGGGGAGGCTGTGGAGTGTAGAAAAATGGGCACGTGCACAGAAGGTGACGCATGAGCGTTGATTCGGCAGCACCAATCTCAGAAGATGCGCTGGTTTCGTTTCGGCTGTGTCAGAAAGTTCCGTGAGCTTGAACAGTGAAACACGGAAATTGGAAACCGCGTTGCGCTGTACATTGAGCCTGTGTGGAACTACAGTGTGGCTGATGTGGGAAGGTAGCACAGCCGAAAATGTTTTTAGACCCAATCACAATTTCAAACACATACATTTAACCTTGGTCTTCCTAGCATGATTTGGACAAGAAAAATCGGGTTTCTGAGTGAACTCTGTGGTGGAAATTGTTGTTTTCGAAGTTCTGTCGATCAGATTTGTCGAATCGAAAATCACTGTAGTCAAAAGTACAGTACATGGGGACATCTGTGCAGTGAACATGTTGGCTATCATCACAGATGGGGTGTTTTTTGTCGCATGTGCTGCTGCGAGCAGGCAGGCAACACAAATCAAGCCACTTTCTCATACTGTAGGAGGAGCCAATTTCTCAGGACGCGTCACAATTGCAACACCGATCCCCGGGGGATCAATGTTTGGGCTGTACAGTACTTCGTAGACTTGTGTATCCTTATTTCGTGAAGTTTCGCTAAGACTCTAGTCAAGTCACCAAGGGAGATGTCTCTTCCAGATCGATCGGTCACCGTACTCAAATCAAGCGTAATCATTTACAACTTTCTAGAACGTTTCTGACCCCGCAAAATGAGGATTGTGAGGACGATCGCGATACATGTGGCTCGGAGGAGATTGATGTTCACAGCTTCGGTGTTCGACCTTGATCCTCGCCGGTGTTGCAATTGTGACGCGTCCTCAGAAATACGTGTACATCTCTTTTGCGCTACACTAGCAATAGGATGCACTGGCTACAGAGCGTACTGTTGCTTGGAACCTAGCGGGCAGGTGCTTACATCCGAACTCCCTGGCTGGCAAATGCTCTCCGAGTGAACGGTACACAACGTTTGAAAAAACAAACCGTGATTTTCCGTACGGCTGAGTGCGGCAAACGTGCTTATATGGTTCGTTCTGGGACCATCCTGGACGCATTGATGTGTGTACATCCGATCAACCATTATAGCCAATGACATGGTAGCGCAATAGAGGGTGTACACTGGCGGGACCACTGTGTTTTGAAATGTGTATTCATAGTTTCCAAAACGCCTCTGAAGATAGCACAGAAATCAAAAGTTACTCTTTAGGTTGTATCATCTGAGCCCTTTCCCTTCATTCTTTTCTTTTCTATTCTACCATGTTTCCTCAACAAATATTGAGGGTTTCGGGTTTAGGGCAGCACATCATTTTGTGGAATTGTGTGTTGGCCTGGCAAATTTCATGAGATGACAAATAGTGCTGTCCCTCATCAGCAGGCAGTTCAATAGCTGGTCTGTCCGTCGTCGTCGTCGTCGTTGTCGAACACCCTCAAGGTCGCATGCCAGCGTGCTGCCATTTCATGCCACTGCCATCACCGCTAGTGTAGGCAAGCGTGGCGCCTTCAACTGTTCCCCCGCCCATGCCTGCTCGACTCGACACAGGTGAGAGGAGAGGAGAGGACACGGATGAGGTGGCAGCAGAACTTCAATTTCAAACCACCCATCAGCCCAACCCCACCACCCGTGACCGTCCCTTTCGGTTTTGAACAAACCCCATGAGACTCGCAACGCTCATTCCCCCAAAAAAGGAAACACATCCAAACCTAAGGGCGTGTATCTTTTTCCCAGACCACTCGGTACGGACGGCATGCGAACAGGGTATCCAGCTCACCATCCGGACCGTTTGAGCCCGTTATCGAATTGGAGAGCATGCGAGTATTGACGAAAATTTCGCCGCCGTCCGGACTGTCGGTCTGGGCAAAAGATACACGCCCTAAGCCGCTTCTTCCTCGCTGCAGGAGTACATTCTCCAAAACCAACAAGCACATTTTGCTTCAAGCAGTTACGACTGCGGATGTATCCACATTTGATAGTATATTTTTACCGAAAAAAAGACATTCTGCTACCACCTGTGTTTCCCCCAAGGTGGAGGACATGTTGGGTAAACCACCCGCATTTAGCAATTGGTGCAATCAATCACTGTAGCCTGTGTTCAACCTGCACCAACCCCTGCCCTCTACCCCACCCCACCCTATACAGTACCCCAGCCACACCACTCCCCCAACCCAATTTCCTTTTCCTCCCAGTGGCCGTGGCTGGCTGGTTAGCAGCGACTCGCGCAAGGGGGGGATGGGTGGCAGGTTGCCTCACCACCACGAAACTCTTGACTCCCCGCTCACCCCAAATTCATCACCACTAGTCCACGACCCTGGTTTCTTGCAATTCCGTCCGTGTCTCCCTCTTCATCCTGAAGGCGGAATAATCGGTGGAATAATCTCTAGATCCATCGCCTCATGTACGTGTTTGTGTAATACCGTTCCAACATGGCCGACACGCTTCTGGAACTCGCGTGCCCTGGCTCAGGAGCTGAGAAGCCTAGTTCCGCGCCGCGCAACGAGCCCTCGCGGGACAATTTCGATATTTTTAACAATAAAAACGCATTGCGAAACGAGCCTGGAAAGTTGACGGTCTCGCCTTCCCCCGCCGTGTTTCGCGCGGCCGCGCCTCCCAACATCGCTGATCCCTCGGCGGCCGCCGCCGCGGCGGCGGATCTCGCGGGAAAATCGTCTCCGATTTTCGCGCCACCTGCGTCACTCGCGGCGTTCAAAGCGTCGCTCGACGCGCGCACGAATCTCCATGCTAGCAGCGGCTTGTTGTCGAACCTCCCACCGAACCTCTCCCCGAGCCTGCTTGCCGAGCTTGCCGGCGTTGGAAGCGCAGGTCCGACTGCAGCTGCTGCAAACACCACCGCCGCAACCGCCGCATCAAACGGCGGATTTCAAGTCCCCGCAAGTGGCGGCGGGGGCGGTGGAATGAGAATGGACGAGGCGATTCTGGCTCTCCAGCCGCTAGTTCGATTGGGGATGCAACAGCAACAGCAGCAGCAACAGCAGCATCATCAACAGCAGCAACAGCAGCAACAGCAACTCGCACAGACGCAAGCAGCACAGGCGCAGGCGCAAGCAGCGCAGGCGCAGGCGCTTCTGCCCGCGCTGCTCCAGCAATACGCCAACCTCCCGTCGTTCGCGCGCAATTTCCGTCAGCAAGATGGCACCGCCGCCGCTGCCGCCGGCGGGTTACACGGAGCCAGACTCGATAACACCGCAGCGCGCAGCGCGCTCGGCTCCTCGGCCGCGGCGGCGCTTCAGCAAGCCGTTCTCCGCGATATCGCCCGCGCAACCGGCGCCGCCGGTATCGGCGCACCCGCCGGCGTCGGCGGTGCTATCGGCGCGTCTGCGGGTCTTGCGCTCTCCCCGAAGCGCGGCTCGATCGGTCGGGACATTGAAAAGCACGGCGCGTCGGCAGCGGGGCCGGCGGATGCGGCGGACGCGGCGGAGTTGAAGCTGAGTGTCGGAGTGCCGTCGATTGGCGGGTCCCCTGGGGGGGAACAATGCCGCGGCGACGATTTCACTAGCGAGGATCATCGCCGTCGTGCGACGCTGCAGGACGACGCTGACGACGACCACGCCCGTCGTCGCACGCGCGACGATCAGCACACAGCCGGCGACAGTTCGGGCGACAGCAACGTCGAGACCTGCCCGGGGCAACAGCGGGGCGCGGGAGCGGGGGATGGCAGCCCCGCGGGGAACTGTAGTCCGGGGGGACGGAGGGGAAGCAGTGGCGGAACAGGCGGAGCGGGCAGGGCGGGGATGAAGCGCAGCGCGGGCGCGCTGGGATCGGGGCTGGATCTTGACGGCCTGGGCGGGGACGCGGCGCGCTCCGTGCGTCCGCGCACAGTGGCGGAGCGGAAGAGGCGGAACAATATCAGGTATGGCGGAGATGGAATTCCGATGTTCGTCTCCCCGCGCCATGCGCACAGTCTGCGGCCATACGCAATGTTTTCCACGCGCGCTGTTCGCCACGCGACGCGCTGTCCGCCGTGCGTGCTGTCAGCTGTGCGCGCTGCGCTGTCTGCGCGCGTTCTTCACCTACATCCTCCTTCGTCCGCGTTGCCATTTTTAAACGATTTTTTTCTTCCCCCTCTGCTTTCCCACCTCCCCCTCCCCCTCCCCCTTTCTCCCTTTCCCGCTTTCCCCGCGCTGCAGCCACCGTCTGGAGCAGCTGAAGGCGGCCATTCCGCTGTGCAATCCGCGCATCACCACGGAAACGCTGTTCCTTTTTACCGCCTCACATCTTTCCCACTTCCCCCCTTCCCCCCTTCCCCCCTTCCACCCTTCCGCCCCCTCTCCGCGCCTCTCTTTCCGCCCAAACAGTCACCGGCTGGAGCAGCTGAAGGCAGCGATTCCGCTGTGCAATCCGCGCATCACCACGGAAACTCTGCTGTGTGAGACGCTGACTTACATTGACGCGCTAAAGGCCAAAATCCGCAACTTGCAGGCCGAAAAGGCCAATCTGCTTGAGCACGTGTTGACTCTGTAACCAGACGTGTAACCAGCTGCGTAGCCGCGGACGGACGGACAGACGGATGGACGGATGGACGGATGGACGGATGGAAAGATTGTTTTTTTTCTGCAGTAGCACATGCCGACGCTCACCTGCGTCCTTCAATCCGATTTTGATGGCCTTTTTTTTTTCCTGAGCCAGCTACTGGGGCCAAAAATCCCCTGTGCCCATTCAGCTGACTCTAGGGCATCGCCATCGCCACCACCGTCCACCTTCACCTCCCTAACCACCATCACCATCACCACGCGCAGCATCATCACCACCAGCACCAGCAGCAGCAGCAGCAGCAGCAGCAGCATCATCCTCCCATCCTGCCTGCCTTTGCCTCACGGCAGTCATCGCTTTTTGAGTCGACCAAAGAAGGGGGTCACCAGCCCCACTTTTGAGTTTCGAGGCATCTCTTCTCAGGGCCCTCAAAACTCGCCTCTAAAGTCACCTTTGAGTCGTCTTGAGGGAGCCTTCCACCTACCACCACATCGCCCTCACTTTTGGCTGCATCCAGTGTTTCTACAACCCTGGCCCAGTCTCCCCACCCTCTATTATTCCTCCGCGCTCTCTCGTTCCCCCCTCAATTCCTCTGCTCACCATTCTCCTCGAAGGCTGTGCTACTGGCTGGCTGCTAGTGACAGGCTGGCTGCTAGTGACTGGCGGGCTGCTTGTGACTGTCTTATGACTCTGTTTTTTACCGTAGTCTGTAGAGGCTTGTGTTCCTTGTTCTGTTGTGGCTTTTTATTAAAAGCTTGGTTTGCGTCTCTCAGTTTGCTGTGGTACGTGTTCCCAGTGTGGTTTCCTGAAATCATGAGCACATGCGAAGAAAGGAATGTACGGTTGTAGGGCATGCAAGCATGATTTGGAATGAAAACATCGTGCAAATTGGGCTGATCATATTTACGGTACAGTACGCAGTCCGTGCCATCTGAAATGCATGATTTGGGACAAATAACTCAAATGCACATGAATAAAGAAAGTCATCAGACATGCAAGTATAATGCACTGCAGCATGGTGGGGTGCAGCACAGCGCGGTGCAGCATGGTGAGATACAGTAACACGTGGCAAGGCAGTAGCAAGAGAATACTGAATAAAAACAAGAGGCGCAGGGAGTGACCACCTTGCACTCTACACATGGCCAGGGACATGGCCAGCCACCTTCCCCTCCCACAGGCACAGCCGCCCGTCAAAACCTCCTGACAGCAGCAGCAGGGGTGCAAGGCCACTCCCCCACTCACTGCTGCCATGGCCCGTGGTGCCGCTCGTAGCAGCAGCAGCAGCAGCAGCAGCAGCCGCGGCGGCGGCAGCAAGGGAAGCAGCAAAGGCGAGGGCAGTGCACGGGCCCTGCATGTGGGCAGTGCACGGGCCCTGCATGTGGGCAGTGCACGGGCCCTGCATGTGGGACTGCGGCTGGGCATGTGAGATTCGCCTCCATGGGGTGATGCTGACATCAGCGCCATACCCATGCATGAGGCATAGCTGGTGGGGTGAAGGGGCATGGCAAGGTGTGGAGAGGAGAGGTAGACAAGGCTTTTGGTTTAAGCATACAGAGATGAGGGGAGAGCTCTTAGGCTTTCCGAGAGGATCACATAACAGCCTAGAAGTTACGTGAGGAATATAAGTGTGCGGCGACTATGACGGAAAGTGGTACGAAAGAGACAGTACTGAGAGAGAGAAGGGAATAACATGTGAAGGGACAGTAGTGAGTGAGAGTGCGGGCATGTGCGGGCATTATAACGTCAACCACATATGCGATAACACATGCGATAACCACAGAACACACACCACACCCCACACCATCCCCATAGCACCACACCCCACCGCACCACACATCCGCCCATACCATCCACACACCACCACACCCCACCGCACCACACCGCCATCCATACCATGATGGAGCCATCAGCAGCGCCTGCAGCCAGGAGCGGGCGGCACACTGCCAGCGACAGCAGCGCGGGCGGCGGAGACGAAACATCCGTGGTGGTGCTGCTGCTGGCACTGGTGCTGCTGGCGGTGGTGGTAGTGGGTGTGGTGTTACCTGTGCTGCTGCTCCTACTGCTACTGCTACTGCTGCTGCTGCTGCTGCTGCCAGCGTTCACAGGCATGGCATTGTTGGGAGTCAAGAGCATGATGCTGCTGCTGCCATGCCACACCTCCACTCGCCCATCCTCCCTCGCACACAGGATCAAATCCCCCTCTTCATCTACCACCACTGCTCGCACACTCACATTCGCACCCGCCCCCTGACCCCCCATCCCTGCGCCCATGCTGCTTCTGAGAGCTTTTGTGCTGGTAGTGGGGCTGCTACAAACGAGGACGGCCATGGGGGAGTGGTCCGGGCGCCACCAGAGACGAACGGTGCCGTCCCACGATCCGCTGACAACCACCTGAGAATCCACCTGAAGGGAGGAGACAGGTGCTGTGTGCCCCTCCATACGAGCTAGTAGGGAATAGGAGCCCTGGGGGGGAGATGGGAGAAAATGGAGGGAAAAAAGGGGGGGGGGAGACGGGGGAAAGAGGGGAGGGGGTGGGAAGAGGCGGGGTTGTTAGTGGGAGGTGAGGAAAGGGATGCGGCGAGGGGAAGTGGGGGAAGGGGGAAGTGGGAGGAAGTGAAAGTGGTTGGGGGGGAACAAGTTTGCTTGCAGAAAGAATGAGGTAACGATGGGAGAAGGAATGAAAGAGGGAAAGGGGAGGTGGAAAAATGGAAGAGAAGGATGGGAGGGAGGGTGAACAAAGTAATGCCAAAGGGAGGGAGAGAGGCAAAGGAACAGAGGGCAAAGGAAGAGAGGCCGAAGGAAGGGAGAATGATGGAAATTGGATAAAGAAGATGGGAAAATTCAATGGACTCACATCAGCATTGGGAGCCCAGGCCTTGACAGTGCGGTCACCACTCCCACTGTACACCACATACTCGTTACAGTCACCAGCTGCTGCTACAGTGCCATCATCATTATAATCACTGGGTTGCGGCGCAGCCAATGACAGAACACCAGAGTATCGCCAATCCTTCTCCTCGCTCCATGTGGTAACCAGACGCGGGGCTGGTACAGGTGCTGTAACCGATGTGGTAACCAGTTGTGGCGCAGGTACAGGTGCAGTGACCGATGTGGTAACCAGATGGGGGTTGGATGTGGGATGGGTCAGAGGGCTGGTGGGGAGAGGAGGTGCTGAGGGAACGAGGAACGAGGGGCAGGAGGGGAGAGGAGGGGCGGAAGGAAGGGATGAGGAGACAGTAGGAGGGAGGAAAGGGTGGGTAGGAGCTGAAGGAGGAGAAGGAGAAGGAAGAGGAGGAGGAGGAAGAGAGTGAGAGATGTCCCATGCGTGGAAAGACCCTCCATAGTCCCCGCACACGAGCAAGTGGCCGTAGTTAGTAGGTGTGCTGGCGCCATGTGGCGCCACGGTATTGGCGAGCGTGAGCGCGGTGATGCGATGGGCAGGGCCTGAGAGCGTGTGGAGAAGAGAAGCATCCTGGAAGGTGCGCATATGGAAACAGGGCGAGGGAGAGAGAGCAGGGGGGGTGGGGGCGGGGGCAGGGGCGGGGGCGGGGGAGGGGGAGGGGGAGGGGGAGGGGGAGGGGGAGGGGGAGGGGAATGCACATGGAATGACAACACAGACGGGGACGGATCACCATGCATGCTCATAATGTAAGGGAACAACTAAATTGTACCATATGCGCATACGACAGTGCAGAATGACAACACATGCTGGCAGATACCACCACGCATGCACATAGCGGGACAAATCACCATGCATGCTCGTACCGCGAGGGGCCACATGCGAATTTGAAATGGAATGTGCTACAAACACAAACCGCCATGCATATGGAATAACGACACATACCGAGGGGGACCGCTGCGCATGCTCCTACTGTCAGGGACCACATGCACACATACATTCACATACCAAAATGCGCATGGGATGACATGACACACCGGGAGGGACCACATGCGCACGGTCTTGTCAAATGAAGCAGTGAAGAGCAGAGAAGCATCGCTGGTAACCGCAACAGCTGTTACGTTGTCACGATGCGCCGCCACTTCATGTAACAGCACCATCTCACTCGCACCATCCAACTCCGATCTCGCAACATTCGATCCTGACCGCTCATCAACGGAACCTGACCCCTGATCTTCCAATCCGGACCTCCCTGGCTCATCCTTGCTCTCATCCCTGTGCGCCTCGCCCCCTTCACTATAGTCACTCTCCGTATTTCTTCTCTGCTGCCTCCCTGCTTCGTTATTATCTGCTCGACCATCTTCGTCCTCAACCCACCCTTCATTGTCATCCCCTCCATAATGGTCACCCGCTTCCTTATTGTCACAACCTCCTTCGTTATTACGCGATTCATTGATAGCTGCCCTATGGTCGGTGCCTGCAGTCCTTCCCAGCAGCCATTCTCGCTCCGACTGATATCTTCTGTACCTGCTTCCCCCGCTATTATCAAAATCTCGGACCTGTCCAGGTGTAGACGCGTCGCCATTGCGACTAGTATCGCGCCCCGTCACTAACCCTAATTTCGCGTGCCTGAAACTACCCCTCCTGCTGATGCTTCGAAGCCTGCTGTTCTGCCTTACACTGCTGACGTCACTACCGTTTTCCGCTTGCTCCGAAATGCCTGCGGCAGAAATGGCGGTCGTTTCAGTGCGACTCGAGCTGCGGATCGCGTGAAGTAATCTTAACAGCTCGATGTTCTTGGGAAATCCGTCCACGCGTCCGTTCGCGGAGCGCGACCGCACGGAGCATTCTGGACACCGCACGATCAAAGACGTGGCACTAGCCGCGGCTGCGTGAGACGCGGAAGCAGCGGGAGCGGAAGCGGACGGGTAAGCCGCGGAGGAGAGAGCGGAAGCCGGGCCCGACGGTGGAATCGGGGCGTTTGCGGGGGCAGCGGAAGAACTAACGGAGGCGGACGAGGAGAGGGTCCATGGCGCGGCGAGCGAGGCTATGCACGTGGCGCAGAGCGAGTGGCCGCAGGACGTAAGGACGCGCGGCACTGCGGAGTCGTCGTCGAATTCCGACACGCACACGACGCACTCCGGCAGCAGCAACGCCATGGCCACCAGGATCGACAAACCCTAGGGCTGAGCAGAAACAATTGCTTCACCGATTTTGTTCTCCCTGTGAAGACGGGAAGCAATATTTCACACCCCAAAGCCCCTCAATTGCGTTTATTGAATAATCAAAATGTTTCAGTATACATGGAACACCAAGTATCTCGACCTACCTAGGTATTGGACGATAAAATATACAAGAGACACCTTTTTCAGACAGCCTTTCCCTCCTACCTACGCGACACGTTCTACTGTAGTCGATTAGTCTGTTCTTTTACATCCTGACAGTGACAACGCCCGACCGCACGTCGGTCCACCTGGTGCGCGCCGCCTCGCCACCGCCCAAGACGGCGTGGATCCGCTGAATCTGAACTCGCATCGCCTGAAGGAAATCACATCAAAGCCGGAAAGGGAGGTCGGAGTTAGTCAATAGTTCATGCGAAAGCTCTTCCGAAACGCAGCGACAAGTCTGATGAATATTAGGGTTTCAACGCCGAAGAAATAAACAATCAGGGTTAGGTATAATTTACCTGGCGGGGGTTTCTCGGACGCGTGCAGGCTCCGCACTTGAGGCCGGAATCATCGAACACGTCCGTGCAGCGCGAGCAGAGCCCCGGGCACCGCGGCCGCTCGCAGTGCTTTAAGCAGGCTATTCGACCGCACCCGCACTGCGAAACATCGAGTTGTCGCACGTGCGACCGAATCGCGTCCACCTCTGCCACCGTGGCGCATTTACAGCCGTCCATTCGGAAGCTCTGGATGACAGATGAAGCTGGTGCTGAAGCTGGTGCTGCAGATCGCTGGAAATTATAACGATTATAGTAATCTACTACTGGTGCTGGTGACGAGGAGGTGGAGGCGGAGGGTTGCGATGGCGAGATAGCCTGAAGGAAGGCCAAGATGTCGCAGCCTTTCAAGTTACAGCAATGGTCGACCGAAATCTCGGTGACGCTGGGAGCAAGTGCCCTGGTCTGCAAATTGAGAAGAACAGCAGAGCGAAACGCGAAGCATAACGTCAGAATTTCATGGTTTAGATGTTCCTTAATTTCACAAATCCAACTATTTTCATTGCCAATTGAATTGCCACAAATTGTCCCGTTACGTGGGAACGAAAAGAGGGACATCATGGAACAGGGTAAACTTACACGAATGATGTTGATGAGCGACTTTCCGGTGATTCCGGAACCGGAGAGCTGAAGAGAATCGACGTTTCCTGCACCCGCGCGTCGCAGCATGACGCCGAGCTCGTAGTCCCAAACCCGGTGAGCCATCTTCCGAGGAACGTCAATGGACTGCCATAGGGACGAGTCGCTCCCGGTTCGATACCACTCCTTGTTGACACAGAGACTGCGGGCCCGCGAGGGCATATCCAGACGGGAGAAAATCGAGAGCAGTATGTCTCGAGGAAGCTCAGAGGCTTTTGAGGATGTTTCGGGCATGGTTGGATCATTTGGCGAGGTGCACGAGTAAGCAGAGTAATCCATGGCTAACAATTGTGTGTGCTTTGTCAATCGCTCGACTGATAACGACTGAGAGCAGGTAGTGCAAGGCGTGCGAAGAACGTTGAATATCTAGGAGTGAACGAAGGAAGTTCAAACAAGTGAAAGCTTGAAGCTGACAGTTCTAACACTGACGCCGCTTCAAATAGTTGCACGGATAGGTGGAGCAATGGCAACTCACAGCTGGGGAGCCTCTCAACCAGCTGGAGATGGTTGGGATTCGGTTTGGAAGGGGAAGGGGGAGGAGGGAGGGGAGGGGAGGGGAAAGGAAGACGCGGAAATGTGTTGATCGCAGCAAGGGTTTCTGGATGTGAACAGTACTTGCGTTGTAAAATATCCGAACGGTCACAAGTTACCCAGGCAGGCGAAATCTGTTGTTGGCAGTTCGTCACCCTCTCTAGTGATGAAAATTGCTTTCGCGAAGTCGCAGCAGAACCACGTCACCAAGAGCAAAGCCGCCGTGAGGATCTAAAGGGCGTTGTTGGATCCGCGGTGTGCACTTTTCCGAGGACTTTTGGATCCACTTGCTGTACCCGAATCTCGAGTCCCAACGCGAATCAAAAGCTGCAGCATGTGTTGGCAGAACGATTGTTTCGCTAGTGGGCCAAGCCAATCCAACAACTCTTTTCCCCCACACACCAACTGTGCTGTGCAGCCGTGTGCGCTGTCACATCACATGATCCACAGTTGATCACATGACAACCCAAGTGTATGGTGCAACGAAAACAAAATTTCGGTGACGTGACGGTGGATGACTCGCGACGAGGACAACTTGGCAGAAAGTAAAATTCTCGCAGGAACGCGCTAGAAGCCGAGAATGTGAAACACTGCAACGCAAAAGAATTGCGGATCCTACAAAACTTCACTTTGTATCAACAAAAATACACGCCTCCAAAATCCAGTTTCTTATGTTCATGGATTGATCAACAAACAATTCTGCGTTACGTAGATTACGACAAAACTCGAATTGGCTGGAAAACCGTATTTCTACAGCCAAAAGTATACAGTTTCTTTACTTATGTCATAGATAGTGTGAGAACAGGAGGTAGTCTTAGGAGCCTAAGCTAGGAAAGCCCTAGCTAGGCAAACGATAGTTTAGGTGAAAGAAGGAGAGGGGTTGCACTAGAAAGAATGGGGATACAAATAGCAAACCCTAGAAGGGTTGTACTCGCTATAGAGCACCCCACTACAGGCTATAGCATAATATTCTGACACACCCCCATAGCCAAAGTGTCAAACTATGCATATTGTGTTTGTGTAGGCTGCTAGTGGGGTAGCCCATATGGGGTACAACCCAATGTTAGGGTTAGCTTATGTACCCAACTCTTGATCAATGCATTCATTCCTGCTGTCAGATTCTAACATGGTTTCAGAGCACTAAGGTCCGTAGGACCGCTTTTTTTTTTTCGGGCCCACCTACCACTGCGGTTACCGCGCTACCCCACGTACCTGCCTGCCTTGCCTTGCCTTGTGACGTGCTGCACTACGTGCGCCGTCCAGCAGCCCTAGCGCTGCCTCCTGCTGCCCTAGGCCAGCGCGCTGCCCCTAAAGGCCCGTAAGGCCCGCGCGCCGCCCCTACACGCCCTCCAGGCCTGCGCAGCCCGCACCGAGCCGCGCGCAGCCCGTTGCTACCGCGCGCTGCCCCCACTGAGCCCGTGCAGCCCGCACAGAGCCGCGCGCAGCCCCCTGCAGCCGCGCGCAGCCCGCACAGAGCCGCGCGCAGCCCGCTGCAGCCGCGCGCAGCCCGCACCGAGCCGCGCGCAGCCCGCTGCAGCAGCGCGTAGCCCGTACCGAGCCGCGCGCAGCCCGCTACAGCCGCGCGCAGCCCGTACTGAGCCGCGCGCAGCCCGCTGCAGCCGCGCGCAGCCCGCACCGAGCCGCGCGCAGCCCGCGCCGAGCCCACGCAGCCCGCGTAGCGCCGCGCGCGGGCCTACTCCTGCCTCGCGAGGCCCGTGCGCCGCCCGCTGCAGCCCGCGCGCGGCTCGCAGCAGCCCGCGCCGAGCCGCGCGCGACTCGCCACTACCTAACGCGGCCGCGCGCGGCCTGCAGCAGCCCAGCGCGCTGTCAGCGCAGCCCGCGCCGAGCCGCGCGCGTCCCTCTGCCTCGGCCCCGACCTGCCGCTGATACGGCCCCGCTCTGCAGCTGCCACGGCCCCGACCTGCCGCTGAAGCGGTCCCGCCTGCGGCTGCTTCGGCCCTACTCTGCACCGGGTGTTGCGGCCCCGACGTCGCCGCTGTCGTGCGCCTACTACGCCGCCGACCGTTGAGCGCCGGCCCTGCTCGCCCGGCGAGCGCCTGCTCTTCCAGCCTTTGGTGAGCGCCTGCCTGCCTGCCGGCCTGCCTGTCTGCTTGCCTGCCTGCCGGCCTGCCTGCCTGCCTGCCTGCCTGCCGGCCTGCCTGCCTGCCTGCCTGCCTACCTGCCTGCCGGCCTGCCTGTCTGCCTGCCTGCCAGCCTGCCGGCCTGCCTGTCTGCTTGCCTGCCTGCCGGCCTGCCTGCCTGCCTGCCTGCCTGCCTGCCTGCCGGCCTGCCTGTCTGCCTGCCTGCCAGCCTGCCGGCCTGCCTGTCTGCTTGCCTGCCTGCCGGCCTGCCTGCCTACCTGCCTGCCTGTCGGCCTGCTGCGCCTGCCCTGCCCGCGCTACTGCTGCTGCTACTGCTACTGGCCGGTGGCCAGATGCAGCCCCAGCGACGTTCACGTGAGTCTCTCACGCCCCAGCAGCTTAGTGAGTGGTATACTAGCTGGGGTTGTCGCGGTAGCAGTCGTAGCTGTCCCCCTGGAGCTGGTCCGTTGGGAGCGACTGGCAGTGGCCAGCTGCAGCTGCAGCGGCGTCCGCGCGAGACACTTACGTCCCGGCAGCTCCATGAGTGGTACGCTCAGTGTAGCAGGTCTACGCGTACAGTTCGCTGCCAGTACGTCCTTCGCACAGGTGATAGGACTGGTCAGCCTTGCGGGACGCTTGGTCACACACAGTCCCGCTGCTTCGCCCGTCTGAGCGACGACTGGCGTACAGTGTTTGGCGACGAGGCTGAGCTCCCCGACTGGCTGGAGCTGCTTGGACAGAGGGTAGATATCTTTGCTCCTGACTATGATGCTATTCTCACTGCCATGTATGCATTGCCTACTAGTGTTGACCGTGCCTGTTACCTGTGCGTCCCGCCTGACCCTGGTATAGCACCTGCTGCTCTCGGTACTGGTGAGGCTGCTGCCCTAGGTGCTCGTGTGTCTCCTCCTCTGGGTGCTGGTGAGGCTGCTGCTCTAGGTGCCGGTACGTTTCCTGCTCCAGGTGCTGGTGGGTCTGCTCTCTCTAGTTCTGCGCCTACTGCGGCCTTGTACACCTTCACGCTTGACTCAGGTGCCTCCCGCTCCTTCTTTCGCGACTGCACCACACTCACGCCGCTTAGTCGGCCGGTTGCAGTCTCCCTGGCGGACCCCTCTGGGGGTCCAGTCCTTGCCCACTACTCCACGGTTCTGCCGTGTCCGGCCGCCCCGTCTGGCTTGCTGTCAGGTCTTTACCTCCCCTCGTTCTCTACGAACTTGGTGAGTGGAGCTGACCTCCAGGATCAGGGGGTGCACCAGTTCACTCCTGCGAGTCAGCGGGTGACTCACTGTACGTGTGCTCGGACCGGCCGACACCTGGCCACGTTTTCCCGTGCGCCTGGCTCGAGTCTGTACACCCTGACCACTGCGTCCGCTCAGGTAGCTGCGTCTGCGTCTGCGTCCGGTCAGCCGACGGCCCCCTGCGAGTGTCGCGCTTTGTCGCACCAGACCCTCCTGTGGCACCACCGCCTTGGTCACCCCTCGGTGCAGCGCCTTCGTGGCATGCACTCTCGCTTCCTGGTTTCTGGTCTGCCCAGGTCTTTGCCTGCCCTGCCTCCCTCGCTTGCGCCGCCCTGCATTCCTTGCGTCGAGGGGCGGCAACGCGCCGCTCCTCACTCCTCCTCGTTCCCTCCTACAGAGGCTCCCCTGCAGACTCTCCACCTGGACGTGTGGGGCCCAGCCCGCGTCCGTGGACAGGGCCACGAGCGGTACTTCCTGCTGGTTGTTGACGACTACACGCGTTACACCACGGTCTTTCCCCTGCGCAGCAAGGGGGAGGTCCCTGCTGTTTTGATCCCTTGGATCCGCGCTGCCCGTCTCCAGCTCCGCGAGCGGTTCGGGACGGAGTTTCCCGTCCTGCGTCTACACTCTGACAGAGGTGGTGAGTTCTCCTCCGACCTCTTGGCAGCCTTCTGTGCGGAGCACGGCATCACCCAGTCGTTCACGCTTCCGGACTCTCCGCAGCAGAATGGGGTTGCTGAGCGCCGCATTGGCTTAGTTATGGAGGTCGCTCGTACCTCCATGATCCATGCGGCTGCCCCCCATTTTCTGTGGCCGTTTGCGGTCCGGTACGCCACGCATCAGCTCAACCTCTGGCCCCGTGTCTCCCTGCCGGAGACCTCGCCCACACTGCTGTGGACGGGGAAGGTTGGCGATGCGTCGCGTTTCCGGGTCTGGGGTGCTCGTGCCTTTGTCCGCGATACCACCGCGGACAAGCTCTCCGCCCGTGCAGTTCCCTGTGTCTTCCTTGGCTTTGTCCCTGACGCGCCTGGTTGGCAGTTTTACCACCCCACCTCGCGCCGTGTCTTTGCGTCTCAGGACGTCACGTTCGACGAGTCGGTTCCCTTTTACCGTCTCTTCCCCTACCGCACTGCCCCTCTCCCTCCCCCGCCGCTCTTCCTCGCTCCAGGTGCTCCCCAGGTCGACCCTCTCCCCGCTCCAGGTCCTGCTCCCTCAG